TCAGAGAGTCCAGGTGGTTGAGTATCAGATTGTTCCATCTCGTTTCCCTTTGGGGTTGCTGTAGGTGATCTGGAAGTCTGTTTTTGAGACTTGTTTAAGTATTTTCTCATTTCCTTGGGGGGGGGGTTTCTGGGGCCCATGCGGCTCAGCTTCTCTGCCCTAGGCATGTGGGATGGTGGCGGGGGAGCTTCCTTCTGGGTGCTGGGAATGGCTCAGCTTCTCTGCCCTAAGAGTGTGGGATGGTGGCAGGGGTTTATTAATTTGTTAGGATGGGCTAAAGTCTGATAATTTCCACTGGCCAGGGACACAGTTCTGAAAGATGTTTCTTCTTGTGATGGACTTGAGCCACCAGGCGGTCATAGCCAACTCATCCTAGAAGCTGTTGAATTTTCCATCCTGTGTAGAACATCTCACCCTTGTAAGTCCGGGCCCTGTGATAGAGTCAAAGGACTTCAAGTGCTTGGGCTTTTGTGGCTTCTGAAGAAGCACAAGGGTGGGAGCAGAAAAGAAAGGGAAAGAGAAAGAAACATAGAACAGCCCATGCAGGCAATGGGCTAAATGAACCCTGGATTATGGTCTTAGACTAAGCATTTGCAAGTGATCAACATGCAGAGCTGGGGAGAATTTGACCCAAGAAGGAAACAGATACAATACGAAGACTGCAACGCTGAGCCTTTTATCCCAGTTTGGTTGCCCCTATCAGATCTCTGTAGGCTCAAGTGAAGGGTTAGCATTCTCAGCAAAAGCAGTCTCAGGTCCCAGGGAAGTAACGTAGGCAATTGTTATCAAAACCACACATTAGAGGTGCTATCTACAGCAAAGCTCGTGGGGAACTCAGAATGTACTGGCCAGCTGTACAAAATTAGTGATTTTAAAATTAGTGATTTTAATTTGACTAAAATCATGTGATGCTAGAGGGCTAATTTAGGGGTTTTCTTGGAAATAATTTCTCATTTCACATAAACATTCTGCTTCTGTGGTTTTAACAGGGTCTCATGACAGACTGACAGATCTGTTGAAACATTCTGTGATAAAAAGGGTAATGGTTTATTGCACATGGGGGCTATTCTGTTCCACCACAATGGTCCATTATTGTGTCCACCTCAGGCAGCACACGCCCCTCTGGACTTTGTCCTCTTTTACCAAATGCTCCTAAAGGTCCTCTCCAGGTTCCTGTAAGTTTACAGGAGAACACAGTTACTTAAGATATTAGGGAAAGTACCATAAAATAAAGGTAGGAGGTGTGTGCAGTATCTGCTGCATATGACAGAAGACTCAAGCCAATTGTGGCTCACACATAAGGTCAGTCCTTCCACATGAAGGGGCTCTGAAGTAAGCAATCCTCACCTATGCAGTGGATGCACAAAGTTATCAGAGTGTGAGGCTTCCTTTATCATTCCCTCTGCTGCCCTTATTAACGGAGGTTGTATCTTCTAAATCACCTCATGCTCCAAGGTGGTGACTTTATTCCTTCAATCTCATCTGCATTCCAAGCAGCAGGAAGACAACAAAGCAAACCAAAAAAATACCTATCGTGCTTGTACTCTTTGAGGAGTCTTTCTGGAAGTCCTACTCAACAACTTTAATCTCATGAACCACAATAGAGTAAGATGGCCATATCCACCTGCAAAATAGGCTGGGGTGTATTTGATTAGTAAAGGAGGGAAAACGGATTTTGAATTGCTCATCCCTGGACAGATGGCATCTTGGTTGAGCCTTGAAATGTGAAGGTGGTACCCATGGGCAGCCAGGGAGACTAGCTGGAGGGAGGTCAAAGACAGACCTCACCCTGCAGTGACTGTGCAGGATATTAAGAGATGGCCCTTCCCCTTGCAAAGCCTTCTCATTAGAAACTCCAGTGCCTGTGAACTATCTCCATAGTCTTTTCCCCCCTAAATTTGAAGGATTTATATGTCAACCACATGGTATGATGAGAAATTCCCTTGTTGGGGGTCTCACAGGAATGAATGAGTTAAGGTTGGGAAGGGAAACCTAAGAGCCAAGCAGAAGGCAGAGCAGGTTCAATGTACTCAGAGCACAGCAGCTCCTTGGGTGGAGGTGAGAGGGTCCATGCCCTCAAAACTGCTCTTTCATGCCCACGATGCAATTGAAAGGCTGTGGCACTCAGTGAACACCTATACATTCTGCAAGGTTTTCCAGCAATTCCTGAGAGCTGGGCTGTGTCATCAGCACCCTGGTTGGGGGAGAACTTTCTCACCAATGCCTGCAGGGCTCTGAGATAAGATACAGAACCACCCCTAAAGGTTTCCTAAATGGGTTTCCACCAGAAATCTCTGGAGCACAGGCCACAGGAAACAACAACTCAGGGTGATAAAAGTAAAAAATAAAGCAAATATTTAGATGAAGGAGAAACCGTGAAATGTATACCTACTATTTGGCATTTTATCTGCCATATCCAGACTAAATGATAAGCTCCCTGCTGCAACTTTGAGAGAAGAGAATCTTAAAATATTTCTAATGAGAAACAGGTGGGTTTAAAAAAGGAGTTATATGGTGTTTGTGACTAACCATATAATATGCATGAAATGTTTTTGATGTTATTTTTATATAGACTACAATATTTTATACTCTAATTTTGTGTTAATCCATGTACAAATACAGATCCCCCTAAAATACAACCAAAGAGCATGCTTAGAGAGTGGTACTAGGAAACAGCCCCATAGCTCAGAAAAACTGGGGAAAACAAAAATAATTATTTTTAAAAGCTTTTTCAGTTTTTGGTTGTCTAGAAAGTCAATTGGTAACATTTCAGAAACACATTTTGGAGAAGCTGTTGTAGAGAAGGTAGATTTTAGGAGACCTAGGTAAGACTATATGGAGAAGTATACCAGGATAAAGAATTGGTAACTTTAGAATATTTTTGGAGCACAAAAAATGGATGGTAACTTGGAGAAGAGCAAACTCAAGGAAAGTTTACATGTGCCTACTCTGTCTCCCTCTATCTCATCTCCTCTTTTCTCTTCTCTTTTCTCTCTCTCTCTCTCTCTCTCTCTCTCTCTCTCTCTCTCTCTCTCTGTTTCATTCTGGCTCTGCTGTTCTTTAACTTTCTGTATCTGTCTCCTTCTCCATCATGTAGCTATCTTTTCCCCCAGTATTAGGAATCAAACCCAGGGATGCTCTATATCTGAGCTACACATCTATCCCTTGTTTTATTTTTCCTTTTGAAACAGTCTCATTAAGTTGCTCAGGCTGCCCTTGAACTTCTGATCCTCCTGCGTCAGCCTCCTGAGTACCTGGGATTACAAGTGTGTGCTACCTACCTTGGCTCTTATACCTACCTTTGGCCTCAGGATGCAAAGTGTCTCCACCTGAAATGTAAATGGTCCCAAAAATTGTCCTTCCCTTCAGCCCTTGCTGAGATCAGCAGAGACCTACCTGGTACACCAGCCTGCATCCTGTACCCATAGGGACCTGGGGCAGTGGGGAGAAGCCACCTCCCTAATTTTCCAGCCTTGCCAGACTGTTCCCTCCAGCCATGGGCCATGAAGAGGAATCATTTACAGGAAGGAGAGAGCCATGGGGTAGATCCAGGAATATGTCAGGACAAAAGGGATCTGTGTTTGCTCCATTGTAGCAACAATTCAGCATTGAGAAATACAGCCCTCAAGGAGTGGCCTGTTATGGTAGAAAGCTTTTTTTTTTTTTGGTACCGGGGATCAAACTCAGGACCTTGCGCGTGCATAGCAGGTGCTGGAACCACTGAGCTAAATCCCCAGCCTTATGGTAGAAAGCTTTTTAGAAAAGAATAATCTTCCCCCTCCCAAGGAGTGTTAAAGTATCTACTTCTTAAGCCATAAAAACAGGTAGGGCTGGGCTGGGGATTTAGCTCAGTGGTTCCAGTACCCCCAGTACCCAAAAAAAAAATAGGTAGGGCTTTGAGGTGATCACTTTTCAAATAAGGCATTTCAAGGAAGGCCAGGGAATGGCTCAGAGTAAATGGCAATGTTTACCCCACCACACTCACAACCATGATCCCCAATTTCTTGCCCTAGTGAGTGGCTACTTATTCCCTGAGCCAAAAAGTCATTTTGACTTGGACTCAAAAACCATCAGCTCTAGATCACTGGCTATGGATCCCCAGCTTAGGACTGCCAAGAGGGGCATCTTGGCCACTCACGAGAACTCAGGGATGGCTACCCCCTAACATGGGATCACAGTTCTGCCCCTGCCCTTGGCCTAGGCCTGGGTTTTGCCCTGTCCAGTCTTATTCTCCCTCCTACCAGGGAACTCAGCCATCAGCTCCTAAATTGTTTAACACCATCATGCAACATGTGGTGGGATATGTATAGGAGACTTGGGGTTGAGGAAGAGGTCTGTGGTTTATCAGAATACTTGAACAAGGTAACAACTCCAGCTGGATACTGACATGTGCCACTAACAAGGATATGGCTCTGGGTGAGCAAATTGAAAAGGCAATATTTTCATACCTCTGGTTTCAGATATTTCTGCTAATATGTCCTTGAATTCCTCAACCATGAACTACTTCAGTTCTGAAATGGAAGTAAGAGAAGTTTATCTTTATTTGAATTTTTTCCACATTGAGAACAATTTTTTATTTTAATTGAAAAATTAAGATATGTTTTATGATGTACAATATGTTTTGATATATGTATCATTGTAAAATAACTGAACCAAGCTAATTACATATCCATCACCTCCCATACTTACTTTTCTGTGGCAATGACATTTAAAATCTATTCTTCTGGGGGCCAGGGATTTAGCTCAGTGGTTCCGCCACCTGTCTCGCAAGCGCAAGGACCCAAGTTCAATCCCCAGTATCAAAAAAAAAAAAACACCCTTAAAATCTACTCTTCTAAGTATATGATACTTTACTACATGCCATACAATAGGTTTCCAGAATTTGTTCCTGTTATTTAAGTGAATCCTTTGTGAATTTAAGTGAATTCCCATTCCCTTTCCAGACTCTGGTAACCACTATTCTGTTTCTATTAATTTAGTTTCTGTAGTTTCCATCTCTATGTGAGATCATGTAATAATAATGTGTCTTTCTGTGCCTGATTTATTTAACTTAGCATAATATCTTCTAGGTTCATCCATGTTGCCCCCAAATAACAGTATTTTCTTCTTTTTGAAGGATATTTTTTCTTTATGCATTTATCTATTGATGGACACTCAGGGTAAACTCCATGTCTTGGTTATTATGACTAGTGGTTCAATTAAGATGGGAGTGCAGATGTCTCTTCAACATACTGATTTTATCTCCTTTGGATATATATCGAATATTGGGATTACTGCACTACATGTGTCTTAGTTACTTTCTTATCACTGAGACCCAATACCTGACACCCACAATTTAAAGGAGAAAAGGTTTATTTTGGCTCACAGTTTGTAGAGGTTTCAGGCTGTAGTCAGCTGGGTCCAAGGCAGGAAAGCACAGCAGAGGCGAATTTCTTATGTCTTGGCAGGCAGGAAGTAGAGATCAGGGGAGAAGAGAGGAAGATGCACCTTCCAGGCCATGTGCCCCAGTGACTCACCTCCTCCAACCAGGCTTCACTCCTAAATCACATTTAGTTATAAATTCATCAGTGGACTAATCTAGTGATAGGATCATGCCCCCATCCTATCACCTCTAAAAGCCACACCTATGAGCATCTGAGGCTATGGGGGATATCTATTTATAAACCATAACAACATGGTAGTTCTACTTTAATTGTCTGAGGAATATTCATACTGCTTTCCATAATGGCTGTACTAATTTACATTCCCACACCACTGTACAAGAGTTCCCACTACAAGGGCTTTTCATGAAATAGTAATTTTAAATTCAAATTTTCAGGCACCAACAGAGGTCACAGGTCTGTGTGTAGGTTATATGCAAATTGATATTCAGATTCAACATTTCACAACTGAAGGGTAGAAAATATTTAACCTGACTGCAACACTGCTAAAATAGCAATTTCTTTTTTTAACTGGGAAATTTATATGTAATTTATTTCCCTCTAGAAAGCAGTGTGTGCGTGTGTGTGTGTGTGTGTGTGTGTGTGTTTTCTGAAGTAACATTAGTTGTCTTAGTCATTTTCCTTGTCATTGGGAAAAATACTCAACACCTGCAATTTAAAGGAGGAGAAGTTTATTTTGGCTCATGGTTACAATCCATGGTTGTCTGCTCCAAGGCAGAGACAGCATGACACAAGGGCATAGTAGAGGAGAGCTGCTTACATCATGCGAGTCAGGAAACAGAGAGAGCAAGGAGGAACTGGGGAAGAAGATATACTGTCTTAGTTACTTTTTTCGTTGCTTAGACAAAATATCCAAGTTAAAGGAGGAAAGGTTTATTGTAGCTCATGTTTGTAGAGCTTTCAGTTCATAGTTGGCTGGCTCCAAGGCAGAGTGTAATGGCAGAGGGGCATCACAGAGGAGAAACATTTCATGGTGGGAAGAAGGCAGCAAAGTATCAAAGAAGCAGCAAGCAATGATATCAGCCCTCTTTTTGTCCCTTATATTCTATCCAAGCTACACACCCTTAGGATGGGTAGCACACACATCCCTGGTGGGCCTTCCCATTATCCACATCCAGAACTATGCCAAACCAATCAGTGGACTAATTTAGTAATCACCCACCCTTAATACCAGCATCACGCACTTAATCCTTGCATCACACACTCTAAATCCAACCACCTCTGAAAAGCCCCACTTATTACTGCATGAGGTTTTGGGGGTACATCTAGACACAAGCTATAACATACATACTCCCGGGACATGACCACAGTGACCCACCTCTAACTAGGCCCTACCTCCTAACAACATACTCAGCTGATGCTCATTGGATGAACACACTGATAGGTGTAGCACCCCATGATCCAGTCACCTTCCAAAAGCCCCACTTCTGAGCACAAGAGAGTTTTGGGAGACATATAAGATCTAAACCACTAGTAATAATGGAAATGCCCAGTAGATGTTCCTGAAAGAACAAATCAATTTTTTCTACTTTAACAGCATAATTATTCCTGTTTTCCTATTTCTCTAAGTGATGGAAGATGAATAAGTCTCTGTTGAACAACTTACACCAAGATACTAAGAAGGGAATAAAGTTATCCTGTGGAAGAGACTTTATTGCACATAAAGAGGCTTTATGCCATGAAATGGGCTAGAGAAGTTAAAATTTTTAATGGAATGAGACAGCTTCTTTCCATTTTCTCCAGTTTCTAGATATTACTTGGTTCAGGACAAAATAATTCTGCTTCAAAGTCTTAGGAAGAATCTAATATCTTCTATATAATTTAAAGTTTAACTGCTTTATACAAAGCAAAATTATTTCCAAGGAAACTAGAGGAGAAGCTTGGGTTGATAGGGGAACTTCCTAGTCTAGCAAATGCTTTCATTTCCTCCTGCATTTTCCAAGATGAAGGAGAGAAAACATGAGGACGAAGAAGGCAAGAGGAGAGGGAGGGTGGCTGTGTACCTGTGGTGCAAGATTAATCCAAAGGCAGCCCAGTGGTTGGAAAAGAAAGAATCTGTCCAACAGCAGTTAAAGCCAAAGCCTGGATCTGGAGAAGTCTGCAACCACAGTGATGAGGACACTGACAGAAGCCAAGGAGCTTTCCTAAGCATGCTGCACAGCCTTTTAAACTGCTTAGGTTCTTATCTAATTTTGATATATCAGTATTTTTAGACACCCAAACTAGTTGTCCAGGGTAATCCAAGCTGAAAAGAGGAAGAATGGTGTGGGAATGAAGAGGAGTGCAAGGGCTTCAGGATCCATCTAATGTTGCTGTTCTTGCCTTCTTATAATCCTGAAGTAATTCTTTTTAAACTAAAAGGATTCCCAAATAGGAGAGCATAGTGGCATGAAAGCAAGTGTGCAGGATTCCAAGACTCAAAAATAATGGGCATTTAAGAGTAAGAAATTTCCCTAGGTATATTAAATATTAGGGAGAAACTCCATTGTTTCTAATAATTCATAAGGGACCACTCTAGGTGAGATGTGATTATATTAGGATGTGTGGCAATAGGCAGAAGGCCAAATCCAGGGTGGATCCATCCAACTTGTTCACAGCAATGGCTCTTTCCTTAGGAATGGCCAACTATAGCAGAGAGTTTCCCTTCTACTCTCTTCCATGAGATCAACTCCCTATTCATCTATACATTCAGCAAATACTCTCACCTCATTCCAGGTTCTGAAGACCTGGGGCTGCAGAAGTGAATAAACAAAGATCTTTTGTATTCATGGCACTTAAGAGACCAGCAGGGGAAACCTGCCAAGAAACAAAGCAAATAGTTTCTTTGGGGTTTTTTTGATTTTTTGGTTTTTGGGGGTTTTTTTGGTATGGGGATTGAACTCTGGTCCTTGTGCTTGGAGAAACCGCTGAGCTAAATTCCCAGCCCTAAAGCAAATAGGTAAAAAGAAATAAAGTGTGCCTGAGAAAATAGCTACTAGTCCTTTGTAGGGAAGAAGGGGAGGGGAGAGTGTGTTCAGGCTGCAGGTTCTCAAAGGGTGTCCTAGTTACTTTTCACATTGCAGAGACAAAACAAATACCTAAAGCTAAAGGAGAAAAGGTTTATTTCAGCTCACAGTTTGTAGAGGTTTCAGTCCATAAGTCAGCTGGCTCCAAGGCAGGGTGGCATGGCAAAGGGGCAGAAAAGAAGAGAAAGAAAAATAGCAGGCAGGAAACAGCAATGCAGCAAACAGCAGTGGGTCTCTCTTCATTCTGTCCTTTATATTCCATCCAGGCTGTGAACCTGTTGATTGGTGCCACCCACACCCATGGTGGGGCTTCCATTATCTACACCCTTAATCCCAGCATCACACCCTTAATCTACATTCACATTCCCTAATGCATTCACCTTCAAAACTCCCCACCTATGACCACATGAGGCTTTAGGGGGACATCTAGCCATAACAAAGGGTGATCTGGGAAAGTCTCACCCTGAATCCTTAAGGACCAGAGGCAAGTGTGCAAGGTGAGTGTGGGAGAAGTCTGCTTGAAGCTGAGGAAAGAGAAGGTGTGCAGGCCAGAGGCCATTGAGGCCATCCCGTGCCTGGATGGATTTCAGAGAAGGGCAGGGGAAGGTGGGGTTAGAGAAAGGCATGGGAGAAGGAGGAGGGTGAGGTGAAGTGGGGGACAAGAGGCTTTTGTACTGCATGAATGGGGGTCACGGGAAGAGAGATGGGGCTCTTAATTCCATCCAGTTAGGCCCATTTGGGCTTCCTGTTGAGGACATACACAGCAGGTGGAGGCAGGATCAGAACAGGAGACCAGAAAAGAAACTGTCCCTTGGTCCAGGTCAGGAATTATAGTCCAAACTCAGATGGTAGCAGAGGTAATCAGCAGCCCAGAGGAGCATGCCAGCAGTATCTCCTGATGGGTTTAGATGTCAATGGTTGACAAACAGCCTGAGATTTTAGCATGAGCACCTGGCAGGATAAAGTCACTGGGAATAGGGGTGAGCAAGTAAAGGGGAACTAAGGGAAAGAATTTTGAGCTCAGCTGTGGTCCCTGCAGGTGTGAGATGACAATTCCCCATATGGAAGGAGACATTGTGGTAAGGAGAAGAAGCTCCAACTTGGTAAGATCCAGTCAGCAGGCATGGGTGCCCCAAAGTGCCCAAGCACCTTGAGGAGTGGCTCCCTTCTAGTGGTGTCCAACCAGCCCCACAGTGAACCACTCTCCTTTTCAGGATCTCAGACCTCAGGACACAACTGGTAGCTCCCGTGATCTCTAAAGAGGGGAAACATGAAGGGCATTCACTCCTCCTCTGTGTTCTGCTTCACCTTACCCTGCACAGCCCAAAGAATGACTCCCCAGGATCCCTGGCCCTTGGTGTTCACACTCCAACCCTCAAGTGAGAGCTAGACTCAGGGCTCGCTTTTAGTGAGTAGAATTGAATAAAGAGGGTGGCATGTCTCTGCAAGACTAGATTACAAAGGCTGTGAGTTCTATACATGGCTTGATCTTCCCCAGATCTTGTCACATACTTTTCTGTGGAGTAGCCACCTAATAAGGGGGGCTATGGCCATTGCCAGTAAATAACTGACCTTCAGTTATTTACCCAGCAGCCTGCAAGGGACTGAATCCTGTCAACAGAGGTGAGCTTGGAAGCAGCTCCTTCCCTTGGAACTTGAACATGACACCTCACACGTGGGCGGGCACCTGCTACAGCCTCCAAAGACCCCAAAGCAAAGGGCCAAGTGAAGCCTGCCTGAATTCCTAGCCCACAGAATTCCTGTGACATATTCCTGTGCCATAACTGTCTGGTGATATGAGCTACAAAAGCTTGAGAATGTTAGACAATAAAAGAACAGACATGTCCCATTCTGCTCAACACAAAATGCAATTTCTCCCTCTTGAATCAGATAATTCTTTCGCAAAGCCAAAGTTTAAAAAAATATTTTTAAAGCTCTAGCTGCAGTGCAAAAGAAAGAAAAGAAGGAATGGGTGTTTTTCCATCATAACTATTTTATACATTAATATTCTGATCAACTGAGCAGAGGGTTAGAGATCATCAGAATAGTTGTGAGGGAATGGTGAATCACCTACCTGAACCACATAGATGCAAGCTTTTGAAAAATATGCCTCAGCTTGGGGGTCTGACTACTCTATATTTGCTTTAAATTCACTATAATGTTTTTATTCCAAAACCAACACTTGTTCATTAGAAAAATAAAGACACTATCCATAACAAGCAAAAAAAAAAGGAAATTAAAATGCCTAGATTAATTTACATATATATATATATATATATGCACATAGGCTCACATTGTTTCTAAGTCTGCTTTTCACTAACTTCTATATCCTAGACATATTTCCATGTCAGTGTTTATTTATCTTAACTGTAACAGCATTTGAATGTTACTCCAGCATATATTTTGCCATAATTTAAGCCATTGTCATGTTTGTTATATTTGCCCAATATAAAATTCAGTGTGTACTATCTTTTTAAAGCATTGTCAGTCTAGAAAGCCACGAATGATTAACGCTTCATTCTATTTCACAAATCCTGGGACTTGGGTTCCAGAAACCTCTGGGGAGAGGTGCTTAGAGCCTGGAAATCTCTTTCTGCTTTTTAGGGAGGTAAAGCGCACCCACCCCATGCCATCTTCGAAAAACTCAGGGTTCTTCTCTCCATTTTTAGAAGAACAATGGTCAGTCTCAATCCACTAGCCCCTCTCAAACTCTGCACTCAGCAGAATAACCCAGAAAGCTTGTTAAAAATACATGTTCTAAAAAAACAAAACAAAACATGTTCTACATAAGCCCTGGCTGCATCCCCAGAAATGGAACTTGACTGAGGCACTTTGTCCATAGCAGTTTTTCTCTCCTCTACAATTAATTTCTGATATCCAGAGAGATGGGCTGGAGGATGAGGCAAACGTCCAATATAAAATTGTGTTCTTCCATCTTTTGTCTATGATTACCCTCAAGTAAAAAAGCTAGTTTATGTTGGTTTCAAAGCCTTTGCTTTCTTTTTTCCTTCTTTCCTTCTTTCCCGTTCAGCAAACATTTATCGTTTTGGGAGGAGGTTAAGGCATGGCTATTCCTACCGTGAAAGGTCGCGGGACCACTTACGAAACTCTTTTCTGGGAGTGGACACTGAAGGAACTGTGCGTGCCTCGTGAGACTGCTTTCTGACGGGGAACACCTCTCTGTCACAGCACAGTAACTAGCACTAAGTGAAGCTCCATAAAAATTAACCTTGTTGCTAATCACTCAAGATACTGGCTATGGATGCTTCAGCATTTGTAGTTTCCAGTGTTGTCAGACAACGCAAACACAGGGATCTCCTTAGGCAGGGACTGCTTTCCTGTCATCCTCGCCAAGCCTTCCCCGTCGCGCCTTCTCCTGCCCCATTCAGATTCTCCAGCATCTAGGTCAGGCCCGAGGGAGCCTCTGGCGGTCCTCCTACTCCCCATTCCTTCGCTTCCCCCAGTGTGGGCTGGAGGGCCCAGATGCGCCGGGGTGCCTACGACGACCTAGGAAATGACTGTTATGCAGTCACCCAGCCAGTGACGCCCACGTTTTCCCACCAACTTGAGGACTGGCTTTCGGCCCTGGCCTCAGGCTGGAGGTAAAACCTGAGGGACTGCACTGCTCCGAGCGCCACCCCCAGGAAGAAGCCTGCGGGAAGCGGGGCGCGCGTGTCTGCGGCGGCTGAGACAATCCCTTCTCCCCACCCTCCGGAGCCCGAGGGATCGGCTCGAGCCCGCCCACGTGGGGCCTCTGCCCACCTGCAGAACTCGCGCTGCGCGGCTGCGCTCCCGCCTACCAGGGGGCTCAGCTCCGGGGGATGCTCCCGTCGCTCCCACCTGTGGCACAATCCACCGCCTCGCCTACGTGCGATCCCCCCACAGCAGGGCTCCTCCCGCTCCCCTCAACCGCCCCGGGACTCCTCCCGGATCCCGCTCGCCCATCCCCGCCCGCCGGTCCCCGCCCGCCGCGGCCCATTGGCGCTCAGGGAGGGGCAGGGGCGGGCCCAGCGGGCGAGGGCGCGGGCGGGGCGGCGGTTCCGAGGCTGGCGCGTGGGCCAGGTCCTCACTGCCTGCTGCGCACCAGGCCATCCGGCGTACCTCTGGCTCTTCACCATGGGCGACGGCTCCTCCTCGACCCCCAAGACCTCCTTCCCGAAGTTCCTGGAGCATCTCTCCGGCGCCGGCAAGGCCATTGGTGTGCTCACCAGCGGCGGGGATGCCCAAGGTGCGCGCGGCCCACTGGCCTCCGGGCCTGGGCGAGAGGGGAAGGAGATGCCGAGGGGAGGGGGTGGCCAGGGAACTGGGAGGAGTGGGATGCCGGGACCGGGAGAACCGGGAAGAAGCCCCTGCGCCTACAAACATCGGGGCACTTGAGGCGTGGCTGGAGACGGCCAGGGGGCCCATTGCGGTGGGCTGGATGGGGAAGACGGAGCGAGACGGCGGAAGGACCTTCATTAGGAAGAAACAGTAAATCAATTTTTCACCTTCCAGGTTCATTTTATTCATTGAGGTTGGCAGTGGGGTCTCTAGGAACCTATCCCCTTGAGGTCGTTCTGCATCTGAGTCGTAGGATGCGGGGCCAAGCGACCCTAAAGCTTAGGTACCGCTACCACGCCGATGCCCGGCACCCGCCCGCAGCTCCGTCATCCCGCCCCACCCAGCCCGGGAAAGGTTGTAGGCAAACAGCTGAGTCCCCGCTGCGCCGCCTGCAGTCTGGCGCCCCCCGCGCGGCGCGGTCGTAGTCCCCGCTGCTGCATTGCAGGACGCGCTTGGGGCACGCGAGGGTCTCGCCTTGGCGGTGCTGCAGCGCCTCACATTTCCCCTGAGAGATTAAAAGAAAAAAAAGTTTTCCTCCCCCACTCTTATCTCCACTCGGCTTCCGGCGGGTGACAAAATTGAAAGCTAAAACGGGTCACTAGGCCCTCTCCTCCCACCTCCCTTGGACGGGAAAGACCAGGAAGCGGGGACTCCAGGCCGTCACCAGCAGCCGGGGCACGGGCTCCAGACTTCCCTCTCACCCCAACGTGGAGGCTGATTGTAAAGCGGAAGGAACCCAAACCCGGGCCCTTCGGCATGTATTCACTAAGAGAATGTTTAAAAGTGGGGGACAAAGAGGGATGACTCGGCCACGGCCCCGGCCCTCGCGCTCTGGGCGTTCCAGGGGGCGCCAGAGTTCCCAGACAGAGGGGTTTCCAGATTCCTGTTAACCCCTGGTGAGGGCAGAGCAGATCAGCGCTTCTCTGGCGTAGACGCCCTTGCAGCCCTAAAGATCTAGCAGGCTGAAGACAGGTTCCCTGAGCTGGTTTTTATCTCCCCTTCTTCCCTCCCACCCCATACCGTATCTCCTCATGAGCACCGCAGAGGGATGCTCAGAGGTTGAGCCCAGTGCCCTCTCCTTCTGCCCACCCTGCAAGTGACCTTCCCTTTTTGCCCTTGAGAAGGACGGGCGGGGCGGGCGGGGCGGGCGCGGCGGGCGCGGCGGGCGCGGGTGCGGCAGGTTGAGGAGCTGTGGGTACTGCCCCGCCCGCCGCGGGCGCCTACGTGATGCCTGGCCAGTCGCCTCCCTAGCACGCTCAGCCCGCGACACCCGGCGCACTCCACGCCACTCGCGTGGAACAGCATTAGGTGCGGGAGTGGGAGCCGGCGCTGCAGGGTGAGTGAGGGTCCATAATGAGACCCTCCTCGTTCTTAGATTAAAAGAAGCAATCGTGGCCAGTCACCGCCAGCACCACACGGGCCGGCCTTCCTCCCTACAGAAGGGATGGCTTTATTGGTATTCTAGTAAAATGATCCTCAATACAAACATTCTTCGTGCAGGGTAGGCTTCTCAGAAAATGAAAATCCTCGGACTGGATTGTTAAAATAGAAGAGTGAAATAGGAGAACATTTAACATCTCGAGTTATTTAAATAAGTGCCTGAAGATGTGCTGATACGGGACCGCCTGGGGTCGGGATGGGGAACCCGCGTACCCACCCCTTTTGACTTCTCATCCCAGGCCAGGGGCTTCAGAAGGATCTGCATGCTCGAGACCTCGTGCTAGGTCTCCTTGAATCTTATTCTGGACTGCCAGAGGAGAAAATTTAGCACAGGAAGAGGAACTGGGTCTCTACACCACCTCCACCCCCACCCCAGGGCTATGAGGTCAAAAGTTTCAAGGTTATTTTAGAATCAAGATTCTGTATCTTTTGGGGGGAAAATATGGATCATTCTTTTGAAATCCCTATCCAAATGTTTGTAAAAATACTTGGTAGTTTGTGAACAAAAATACGGCAGAGTCATCGTTTTCTCTGTTACTTATGTTAGGTCTGCCACTTGTAAGAAGTTAATTAAAAGACTACCTTGTCTCTTCAGTGGAAAAGAATACCCTGGAAACCAAAATTCTATGAGAACATTGCTTGGTTAGTGTAATGTCTGGTGCATGGGACATGGCTGCTCTTAGTTAAACAGGTGGCATCAAATATGACCTCACGCTTTCAAATGTTACATGGGGGCTGTCCCCAAGGAAACCAACCATGGCTGTGTCTTGGGCATTTTCTCTCAAGACCCTGACTCAGTTTTCCTTAGATGCCTATAAATAGTTGCGTACTGTTGTAATGCTATCTTGGACCTTTTTGAGAGTTTACATGCATTTCTTTCTGGAAAAAAAAATCCATTAGGAGGTAAGCTCCAAGGGCCTGGACTTAGCAGTAACAGATTTCCAGGCCCTTAGAGTAGGTTGTTCCTTGAAGTGGTGTCTATTGTACCAGTCTTTTACTGTTTTATGTTGACTCTATCAGTAATTGATTTTCCCTGAGAGAGAAAAATTTTGCTCATAGCTGGAGACCAAAGAGAGTAAATTCGAGTCTCGTTTTTAGGAACTTTCTACTTAAATGTGAAATTATAGTAAGATTCCATTCTGAGGTGATTATAACTACTGTTTATTCTGCACTTTTTATATACTAGGAGCTTTACAGTTCTTAGGTCCAGGGCAAATTAAAATGCCTCCAAGATAGGTATTTCTTCATTTTGGAGGTAAGGAGAAAAACCCACAACGAGACAAGTAACTTAACAAAGCCATGAGGCTCCTACAAGGTTGTGGTAGGATTTAAACCACACTGGATGACTTACTCCCAAATACTCTCCACCAGAACATGTTCTTAAGAGGTCTTTCCCAGGAAGGCAATGCCATCTGGCCAGTACTCAAAGTGAGAACACAACTTGCTCGAAATTATACAGAGAATCTTTTGGCAGTTTTGTTAGTAGAACAGTAAATGCCTTTCGAAAGTGATAGCTAGCAAGGTGGCCAAAACAATGGAGTCCTTTTTTCCACCAATGGAATTTATATTACATAATTATAAAGTGAAACCAAAAATCCCTCATCTGCTTTCCTGACTGCCTCAGGCCTGACATTAAGAAAGAATATTTTAAAGCATTTTTTTCTCATCTTCTTTGGATCTTTAGATCTTTACAGAATATCCCTGCAAAATTAGACTGATTTCTCTTTAACCTAAAATAAGTTCCATGTTGCTGAACAGACAGACTTATTATGACTAAGTACCCACCCTCAAACAATATTGTGTCACATACCAAGGATGATTCATGGTCTTAGACACAGGCTGTGGCTTTGGCAGGGCCTGGTGCATAGTGCAGCTGAGAATGCATTACCTATCTTGCAACAGTCAAAGTGCATCCTTTTTGTCTATAGCAAAGTGAACATTAATACAATATTTACAGAAAATCCATATAAGATTGAGTATGTAGAAGTCTTTCCAATCATAGAGAGACTCACTAGCATTTAGTGACTGACTGCATGTTGTGAAGTTCTCCCAGGTGCTAACTTATCCCCATTTTAGATGTGAGCAAAGAAAACCTGAGATGAACCAGCTTCTCTGCATTCACAGACCCAAGTATTAGGGACAGGCCACATGATTACAGGGACCGGGTGGCAGGTTGAGTATAAAGACATCAAAACACACAATGTATGTTTAAATTTTAAAAATTACAGTAAAAGACATGTTGACATTAATCCCTTTCAAAATGCTTTCCCTTGCTTCAAACTCACTTATCCCATCATTCTTCCCACTTTCTGCAGCTGCTCTGGAAGTCCTCTCTCATGAGAGTCTTTACTAGGAGTGACCAAAAATACCGTGAATGTTTCTGCTGAGTGTCATCCAGTAGAAAAACAGGCTTATAAAAGCATTACAGTGTGTCCTAGTCCACCTTATTCACCCAATCTGACACAGTGAGACTTCTGGCTCTTCCCCAAGGTCATTTGTCACAATGAAAGGAAAATGTTTGGAATCAGTTCGGGACATCAAGGCAGCCACAACAATGCAACTAAAGACATTCATGAAAAAGAGCTTTCAGAACTACTTCAGAAAGTGGCAAAAACAATGGGATAATGTTCAAAGCCAGGGGGAGTATTTGAGGGCAATGAATGGCAATGTGTCTTTTACCATAAGAATTTTTTAAGCTTAAACATTCAACCTATTTTTCAGTCACATCTCATACATATGAGTCAGTTTACCAGTGTATTTCAAGCACTTAGCACATCTAAAGCAGGTAGCAGACACTCAAGTGTTTATGGACTGTCCCCCACCTGAAATCACCACTGAGGAAGTGACAGGTGACTAGGAATTTCTTCTGTCTTCCTTTTTCATGAAGCCATTTAGGTGAATTAAACTGTCAGTAATCACTAGTGCTTTTTTATCCTCAACAATAAATGTGATCTACTAATGCTTTAAGATGAAAACTTTAAAACTGTACTCGGAATTGTGAGGTACTGGTAGACTTGCCACAGGCACTAAGCTGGCTCTTCAATTTAACACATACAATCTGCCCTCTACATTTGTGGGTTCTGCAGGTTCAACCAACCTCAGATTGAAAATATGTTTTAAATGACATCTTGTACTACATATATATATGGGCTTTTTTTCCCCTTGTTATTATTTCCT